TTCAAGGAGGGGTTTCATTTCCATATTAGTCACTTAAAACACTAGGATGTTTAGGAAAACATCATATAAAGTCTGCCTTGAATTAAAGCAATTTCATTAAATAGAGCTCATACCAGAATTATAATTCACGGGAAGTATTTTCAAAAATTGTGACCAAATGGAACATAGAAACATGTGCTGTTATCACGTTAATTTTAAGTCTTTAGAACAGTTCATTCAGCACGACATTGATTGTTTATTTTGAGCCACTAGCTAAGCTCACATTCCAGAAATATTCAATCCAAATTAGGGAGAACAGCACAAACTGAAAGAAATAATATCTTAATTATATTTTATTTTTTTTTTTTTTTTTTTTTTTTTTTTGCCGTACGCGGGCCTCTCACTGCTGTGGCCTCTCCCGTTGCGGAGCACAGGCTCCGGACGTACAGGCTCAGCGGCCATGGCTCACGGGCCCAGCCGCTCCGCGGCATATGGGATCTTCCCGGACGGGAGCACGAACCCGTGTCCCCTGCATCGGCAGGCGGACTCTCAACCACTGTGCCACCAGGGAAGCCCGTATATTTAATATTTTAAGATTAAAATGCCAAGAAGGGTCTTCCCATTTCCCAGTTTTACTAGATAATAAATGTCACTGGTTAACATTTCAAGATACTATAAAAAACTGCTTTTGCTTTTTCTTGGAAATACCAACTGAGTACCTCTGAAACCTTCTTGATAAGTTTTTTAAAAGCAATTAGTGACTTCTTTCTTTGTTGGAATGCGAGGTTTCACAGCAAGTTTTCAAGGCTCCTGCACCCACCATCTTTCTAATGCTTCAAATCCAAATGGCAAGTAGCCAAATGGCACAGAGCTGCTCAATGCAAAAAACAGGAATCTCTTAACATCTAGAAACCAGCTCTACCACTTCTGCTCCTGGTACCAAAGAATGAAAAGGAAGAGAAAGAGGAAACACGCAGGAGAAAATCTCTGCGACCCTGAGTTAGGCAAAGATTTCTTAGGTACACCAAAAGCAAGATCCATAAAATAAACTGATAAATTGGACTTCATTGAAATTTAAAACACACTTTTAAAAACACTACTAAGAGAGTGAGAAAGTATTTGCAAAATATATGCAAAAATATATGGGGTTTTTCATTGTTTTTATTTTTTCTTTGCTGTACGCGGGCCTCTCACTGTTGTGGCCTCTCCCATTGCGGAGCACAGGCTCCGGATGCGCAGGCTCAGCGGCCATGGCTCATGGGCCCAGCCGCTCTGCAGCATGTGGGATCTTCCCGGACCGGGGCACGAACCCGTGTCCCCTGCATTGGCAGGCGGACTCTCAACCACTGCGCCACCAGGGAAGTCCCAAAAATATATGTTTGATGAAGAAGTTGTTTAAAGAATACATAAAGATCTTTAAAAACTCAAGGAAAAAAATTTTAATGGCAAAAGATTCGGACATCTCCCCAGAGAAGTCATGCAGATTGCAATAAACAGATGAAAAGATATTCAACATCATTAATCAATAAAGGAATGCAAGTTAAAGCCACAATGAGATACCACTGCACATCCACTGGAATGAATAAAATTTTAAAACTTATCATATCAAATATCTATAACAATGTGGAAGAACTGGAACCCTCCAGCACTGCTGATGGAAATGTAAAATGGTACAACCACTTTGGAAAACAATGTGGCAGTTTCTTAAATTAATATGCACCTATCATATGATTCAGCCATTCCACTTCTAGATTTTTACCTAAGAGAAATGAAAGCATCTGTCTACATAGAGAATTATATGTGAATGTTCATACAGCTGTATTTGTAATAGCCAAAAAACTGGAAACAATCCAAATGCTATGAACACGTGAATGGATAAACAAGTTGTTCTTTAACCATTATGATAGAATACCACTCTGCAATACAAAAGAATGAGCTATTGACATATGGCAATGTAGATGAATCTCAAAGTAAGTGTAATGAGTGAAAGAAATTAACAAAAACAAAAAAGTACATGTTGTATGATTCTATTTATATGAAATTTTAGAATATTTAAAGTAATCTGTGGGTAACAAAAAGCAGATCATGGTTGCCCTGGCAAGAGGGAAAGGAATTACAAAGGAACACAAAGAAAGCTCTTGGAGGTTATGAGTACATTAATTATCTTAACTGTAGTGATAATTTTATGGATATAAACATATATACAAACTTCTCAATTGTATGCTTTAAGCATGTGCAGTTTAATGTGTGTAACATACCTCAATAAAGCTGTATTTACAGGAAGGAAGGGAGGAAGGGAGGGAGGGAGGAAGGAAGGAAGGAAGGGAGGGAGGAAGGGAGGGAAGAAGGGAAGGAAGGAAGGGAAGGAGGGAAGGGAGGAAGAAGGAAGGAAGGAAGGGAAGGAGGGAAGGGAGGAAGAAAGGAAGGGAGGGAGGGAAGGAGGGAAGGGAGGAAGAAAGGAAGGGAGGGAGGGAAGGAGGAAGGAAGGGAGGGAGGAAGGGAGGAAGGAAGGGAAGGAGGGATGGAGGAAGGGAGGAAGAAAAACACCCTCCAGAGACAATGTTAGGATACCATACAGTTGGAAATAAACCAAGCTGTCTGCTCTTGGCACACACTGAACTTCCTTTCCCCCCTCGTAGTATCTGCAAATTTATGAACTATCAATAAAATATGTATATGTATAACTGATTCACTTTGTTATAAAGCAGAAACTAACACACCGTTGTAAAGCAATTATACTCCAATAAAGATGTTAAAAAAAAAAACTTCACCAATAAAGTATGCAATCTTCATGGATAATATACACACAAAAGGCATCCAAACAATTAGCCACTTTCTCCACTTGCCCAGGAGAATAATAATCAATGTCTGATGAGCAGCAAAGCGTAGGGATTTGATTTACAATGTTTCCTCCTCTGTGATGGTGGGTGGGTAAAGCATGCTTAAACATTGGGAAATGCTTATTTACCAGGCTTCACTAACTGGCTGGATGCACGTCTTTTCTTTCTACCCCAGACTTTCACCAGTAGTGATCTGCTGTCTTACAGCCGGGATGGCTCTGTCCGCGGAGCAGATGGCACCATTCTTTCCTATTTCTAGTCAGATTTGATACTCACTGATAAACACTTCCTCCTTGCTGAGTATTCTTGTTCACATGTGTTCATTTGGCATTGTACCTGCTCATAAGATGTTCTAGCAACACGGGTGCCAAGTCATAATGGGTCTGCTCTGGGAGCCTAGGAGTCTTTGGGGTACTATTTAATTTTGTCCTCTGTACCTTCCTGATGATGATGATAAAACTTTAGACTTTTTTTTTTTGTAATACATTGTTGATATTCTCAGATACTTTCAGCTTAAGAAATTTTTATAAAGATATCACTCTGACATCCTCAGTGCGCAGTGAAGACTAGCTCTTTCCTGTTTCTGTTTCTTCCCTAAGGAAGATGCCAATGAATTTATTAAAAGGAAGTGCTGTTTGCCAATTGGAACTGCCTCATGTGCCCTGTGAAGCTGCCCAACACAGCTGGTGGCCAAAGAACTCAGTCTCCATCCTGGGGTTTGGCTCCTACCAGAGCTCACACAACCCAAGAGGCTGCAGAAAAAAGCCAACATGTCTATAGTGTGTGTAGCTATTTTCTTGGCACAAGTGCAGTTCAGTTTATACCAGCCAGTGCTGTCCATGTAGAGTATTTACCACATATACAAACAGGCAGCTCACGTGATGCTTGATAGACGTGGTAATAGTTGTACTGACAACTGACCCAGAGCTGAATTCTGCCAGTTATATTGTGATTAACTCACTGCACTGGCAGAGCAAAAGCAGCTCTGGCTGAACACTTAGGTTCAGGTTGAGAACCAGCCTACCAAGAGCTCTACTACTACAGTCCAGTCAATGGGCAGTGAACCCAGAGGTTTTGAATACCTTTAAACCATTTCCAACATACATGAAATGGAAAGACAGCATAGGAATGAGCACTGACTCCTGAAATGTCATCCTCTGTGGAGTTGGGTTTGTTCTTTTGTGGTCTAAAGCCACTTGAGGTTTAAAATACATAACTAACCCAGCCTTCCAGCATCCTTTGGGTTTTCAGTGTAGAAACATAATCCAAGGAACACAAGGCTACAATGAGCAAACTCCCCATGATTCCTACCAGCCAAGGGATTTGGACAGAACTGACTTGTCCTCAGACATGCTGTGAGTATACTCCTACTCAGTAAATGGGCTTAGCCTTCATGTATTTCTTCCCATTCTAGTGCTGACAGTATGAGTTTGTTAAAAATCTCTCTTCAGCCTGAGGGTGAAAGGACTCTTAGAAACTTCCCACATCAACTTAACGTGTCTCCAACTTAAACTTTAAACACAACTATACATCTTAATATTTTATAAAGCTGTCCAGTTCACATTTACTTAAATTACTGCTGACCTTGAAACTAAATTGAAATGTTGGATATTTGGTTACTCTTTGTCTCCTGTAATTTTTTAAATTAAATATTTGCCAAAGTAAAAGTTGTCAAGTATCCTAAAAAATATTTGCTGCATATGCTGAAAAAGCTCCAATTACTACGTGAACACTCTTGGAGGTGTTAGATTAAAATTGCACTTATTCTGTTTGTTAAGGATTGGGGGATTTTTTCATGTTGACAGGGAAAGGAAAGCAACATTTGAAAGTAAAAACCAAGCAAAGCAACTAAGCCCATGCGCCACAACTGCTGAGCCTGCTCTCTAGAGCCTGTGAGCCACAGCTACTGAGCCCACGTGCCACAACTACTGAAACACGCATGCCTAGAGCCCATGATCTGCAATAAGAGAAGCCACTGCAATGAGAAGCCCGCGCACCACAACAAAGAGTAGCCCCCACTCGCTGCAACTAGAGAAAACTGTGTGCAGCAAAGACCAAGCACAGCCAAAAATAAATAAAATAATTTTTTAAAAAACCCAAGGCAGCCAATAAATTAATTAAGTTTTTAAAAAACAAGCAAAATTGTATCCATTTCAGAGTATACTTCTCCAAGCAGCTCACATTGAGTAGCGAAGTCACACAGAGTCACTCTCCTTCTTATTCATGCATTTCCTGTTATATAAAAACATCTGTTTAGTTAGAAAGTACACATTGACACAGTCTGAGTCAATTGTGACTGTTCATGACAGGAAATGGGGCTCATATGGGCTATCAGTTGAAGTGTGGGACATAGGCACTCCCGCTACTTGGTTATTAAATATTTTTAACATCACCCCAAATTATAAGCTGCAATTGGAAGTTAGTAGTAATTTTTTTTTAACATAGTGCTGTATTATAAATAGCCAATTTAGTGAATGCATTGGCTTGGCCTAGAAAGCATGCAGGGAGAAAGGGGCAGGAATCTTCCCTTGAAAACGGGGAACCAGAACTTGATGAGGACATAATTTGATTCTCTATTGTCTTAGTGCCTGTGGGCTGCTATAACAAAATACCATAGACTGGGTAACTTGTAAACAACAGAAATTTATTTCTCACAGTTCTGGAGGCTGAAACATCCAAGAACAAGGTACCAGCTGAGCTGATGTCTGGTAAGATGTCTGTCCTACTTCCTGGTTCATAAATGGCCATCTTTACACTGTGTCCTCACATGGTGCAAGGGACAAGGGAGCTCTGTGGTGTCTGTTTTATAAGAGCACGAATCATGACCACGAATCAAGAGCTACACCCTCATGACCTAAGCACCTCTCAAAGGCCCTACCTTCTAATACCAACACATTGGGCATTAGGTTTTCAACATATGAACTTTGAGGGGACACAAACATTCAGACCATAGCACCTGTAGTAATACCTTTGCCCTCTGTTTCATAATTTTTTGTTTCTGTCATCTTCTGAGATCTGTAGGCCCTCACTGTGTGTCGTCATCATAACATGAGAGACTCACAATCTAGGCTGGTAATAATAACAACCATAAATTGAACACCTATTATGGACCAAACACTGTATTATTATTTTCCCATAAGTCCATACAACCCATAATCCTCACAATAACCCTCCAAGATAAGTGTTATCATCCCCATTTCACGAGCAAGGAATCTAAGATTCAGAGAGGGCAAATTATTGACTGACAGACATACAGTGTTAGGTAGCAGAGCTTCAAATGCAAGACTGTCTCCTTCCAAAGTCATTGTTTATTCTACTATGTTTAATATCATTCCTTCTAGCAAACTTATAAAGTCTGTCAAGACTTCCCTGCGAGTCAATGTGTTTCCTCCATCCCTGCTACTTCTTGCTTTCATAAAACAAGCAGCCCTTCCCTATCATTGACTCTGAATCCTAGTTATTTTAATATGATTATGTTTGATAATAATAAGAACAACAACAACAACAACACCCATATATGACCAATCAAGATGTGTTATTGTTTCTTACTAGAGAAATGGCTCTGGAATTGAGGACAACATAGACTGTAAGAGCCCACATACAGTTGGAAAAGGACATTTAAATGAAGATAAAGGGGATAATTTCAAAAGTTATTAGTACTAGGAAGGAAACATTTCTCAGGTCATCCAAGAGTTAGTTTGCCTAAAGTGATAATACAGATTTCTTAGTAAATGAGACAAAAGAAATTGTGGTTTTGGAGCAGGAAGTGATGTACAGAGTTTTAGATACCTACAAAGGTCAGTAAAGACTCTTGTAGCTGGGTTCTGCATCCATTCTCTCCACCTATTACTATAGCTAATATAATAATATAATTGCTGCTATACTCAAAAGTGTTATTTTTTCAAATTGGAATAATTTATTCTTCCCTTTTAAAGGAAAACAAAAATTGTGGAGCCTCTTTTTTCATACTATTTAAATATCAACTTCTTATGCTTGAAAAAAATAAATAACAAAATTAATCTATGCATGAGATACAGTCAAAACTATGAATATAATCAAATTAAGTTATCAAGTTAATTTAATATGATAGATGATGCCATTTTACTGAAACAAAAGTGTTGGTGTTATAAATGGTAGGTGATATACCCTCAGGTCTGGTTCTGTATTTTAACTATTTATGTATGTTGAATTTAGTAATATTAATGCAGATAAATGCCTTTTTAACTGAAGCATGCAGCATATAATGAAATTAGTCACTTCAAGATTTTTTTGCTACGTCAGGATAATCAGATCTTACATTTAATCAAAGTCACAACAATCTATTTTCACATGCCAATGTAAATAACTCTATAAAAATGACTGCAGAGATTGGTTCAAGTTGGCAGAGTAGAAGGACATGCTCTCACTCCCTCTTGCGAGAGCACCAGAATCCCAAATAACTGCTGACCAATCATTGACAGGAAGACACTGGAACTCACCAAAAAAGATATCCCACATCCAAAGACAAAGGAGAAACCACAATGAGACAGTAGGAGGGGCACAATCACAATAAAATCAAATCCTGTAACTGCTAGGTGGATGACACAAACTGGAGAACACTTATACCACAGAAGTCCACCCACTGGAGTGAAGGTTCTGAGCCCCACGTCAGGCTTCCCCACCTGGGGGTCCGGCAGCAGGAGGAGGAATTTCTACAGAATCAGACTTTGAAGGCTAGCAGGATTTGATTGCAGGACTTCGACAGGTCTGAGGGAAACAGAGACTCCACTCCTGGAGGGCACACACAAAGTAGTGTGCACACTAGGACCCAGGGGAAGGAACAGTGACCCCAGGGGAGACTGAACCAGACCTACTTGCTAGTGCTGGAGGGTCTCCTGCAGAGATGGGCAGTGTGTGTGGCTCACCAAGGGGACAAGGACACTGGCAACAGAAGTTCTGGGAAGTACTCCTTGGCCTGAGCCCTCCCAGAGTCCACGACTAGCCCCACCAAAGAGCCCAGGTAGGCTCCACTGTTGGGTTGCCTCAGGCCAAATAACAAACAGGGAGGGAAGCCAGCCCCACCCATCAGCAGTCAAGTGGATTAAAGTTTTACTGAGCTCTGCCCAACAGAGCAACAGTCAGCTCTACCCACCACCAATCCCTCCCATCAGGAAACTTGCACAAGCCTCTTAGGTAGCCTCAGCCACCAGAGGGCAGACAGCAGAAGCAAGAAAAACTACAATCCTGCAGCCTGTGGAACAAAAACCACATTTACAGAAAGACAGACAAGATGAAAAGGCAGAGAGCTATGAACCAGATGAAGGAACAAGATAAAACTCCAGAAAAACAACTAAATGAAGTGGAGATAAGTCATATTCCAGGAAAAGAATTCAGAATAATGATAGTGAAGATGATCCAGGACCTTGAAAAAAGAATGGAGGCAAAGATCGAGAAGATGCAAGAAATATTAAACAAAGACATAGAAGAATTAAAGAACAAACAAACAGAGATGAACAATACAATAACTGAAATGAAAAATACATTAGAAGGAACCAATAGCAGAATAACTGAGGCAGAAGAACGGATAAGTGACCTGGAAGATAGAATGGTGGAATTCACTGCTGCAGAGCAGAACAAAGAAAAAAGAATGAAAAGAAATGAAGACAGCCTAAGAGACCTCTGGAACAACATTAAATGCAGCAACATTCACATTATAGGGGTCCCAGAAGGAGAAGAGAGGAAGAAAGTACCCGAGAAAATACTTGAAGGGATTATAGTCGAAATTTCCCTAACATGGGAAAGGAAATAGCCACCCAAGTCCAGGAAGCGCAGAGAGTCCCATACAAGATAAACCAAAGGAGAAACATGCCAAGACACATAGTAATCAAATTGGCAAAAATTAAAGACAAAAAAAATTATTGAAACCAACAAGGGAAAAAAGACAAATGACATACAAGGGAACTCCCACAAGGTTAACAGCTGATTTCTCAGCAGAAACTTCACAAGCCAGAAGGGAGTGACAGGACATATTTAAACTGATGAAAGGGAAGAACCTATGACCAAGATTACTTAACCCAGAAACAATCTCATTAAGATTCGACAGAGAAAACAAAAGCTTTACAGACAAGCAAAAGCTAAGAGAATTCAGCACCAAAAACCAGCTCTACAACAAATGCTAAAGGAACTCTCAGTGGGAAACAAAAGAGAAGAAAAGGACCTACAAAAGCAAACCCAAAACAATTAAGAAAATGGTCACAGGAACATACATATCAATAATTACCTTAAACATGAATGGATTAAATGCTCCAACCAAAAGACACAGGCTCGCAGAATGGATAAAAAAACAATACCCATATATATGATGTCTACAAGAGACCCACATTATACCTAAGGACACATACAGACTGAAAGTGAGGGGATGGAAAAATATATTCCATGCAAATGGAAATCAAAAGAAAGCTGAAGTAGCAATACTCATATCAGATTCAATAGATTTTAAAATAAAGAATGTTACAGGAGACAAAGAAGGACACTACATAATGATCAAGGGATCATTCCAAGAAGAAGATATAACAATTATAAATATATATAATAGTGGGGGACATTAACACCTCACTTACACCAATGGACATATCATCCAAACAGAAAACTAATAAGGAAACACAAGCTTATAATGACACAGTAGATGAGATAGACTTAATTGATATTTACAGGACATTCCATCCAAAAACAGCAGATTACGCTTTCTCCTGAAGTACACACGGAGCATTCTCCAGGACAGATCACATCCTGAGTCACAAATCAAACCTCAGTAAATTTAAGAATACTGAAATCATATCAAGCATCTTTTCTGATCACAACGCTATGAGATTAGAAATCACTTACAGGGAAAAAAAACATAAAAAACACAAACACATGGAGGCTAAACAATACGTTACTAAATAACCAAGAGATCACTGAAGAAATCAAAGAGGAAATCAAAAAATACCTAGAGATAAATAACAACGAAAACACGATGATCCAAAACCTATGGGATGCAGCAAAAGCAGTTTTTAGAGGGAAGTTTGTACCAATACAAGCCTACCTCAAGAAACTACAAACATCTCAAATAAACACTCTAAACTCGCACCTAAAGGAACTAGAGAAAGAAGAACAAACAAAACCCAAAGTTAGCAGAAGGAAAGAAATCATAAAGGTCAGAGCAGAAATAAATGAAATAGAAACAAAG